GTTAGATTCTTAGAGTAAATTGTAAATTGCTTATGAAGTGGAGGAGAGAGAGAGAGAGAGAGAGAGAGAGAGAGAGAGAGAGTCAATGGGGGGAGACTAAATACACATCTATAAATCATCCTGGAAACTATTGATAAGCTAGCTTATCCATGTTCCTCAGGTCTAACATTTCAAGAAACATCAGTTTTGCTTTTTATTTGACATAATTAACTAACCTATTTGGAGAGGTCTGCCTCACACCAGTAACACAATAAATGACCCAGTGTGTCAGGGATAAAATTGTGTCAATGGCACTATTTTGTTCTTTGCAAAGTTTTAAGGGACTTTATGAAGGTCCACCATGGACACTGTAGAATGTTCCTGGCAAAGCCTCACAGATGCTTCTGAGAAATCCTTTGCCTTCAAATAATAAACTACACACACATTAGGGATCACAACCACTTCTCAGTAACTCTTTTTATGTTACAATAAATATCACAACAACCATTTCTATCAATCACTACTGTGTGTAATCAATAGAATAGTTTTTGTCACAATGGTTCTTATGATAATTATGTTTTATTAGTAGCAAATACTGCTTTATAATAGTCATTAAGTTGGACTTTTCACATTAGGTCTTAAATCTTACTTAGGAATTTATATCCCTATACATCCATATCATCTTTTTCATCCCCATTTTACAGCTCCACATCACCCCCACATCTCACATTTCTGGGTTCTCCTCTACAGAACCCTGAAAACTCCTACTTTTTTGCATTCTCAATTTAAAAATTATAGAAAAGTATTTCCTTGACAAAGAAAACTCATGTATGTGTATATATCATTTAAAAATTATACATTGCACATGAATATTGAAAATTCTACTAGGAAATGTCAGAATTTCCTTTTTCAACAATTGCTACAGCTTTACTGTTTCCAAAAACCACAAAATTAATATGCCTACATAATTTTTTTAAAATATAATAATCTGCAATAGGGTAGAAAGAGAAAGTGCCATTGCTTCTATTTCTTCCACAACAACACACCTCTGAAATCCCAGAATATAACTACAGAGCACAGTTTCTTGTTTTTCCTTCAGGAATCAACCTATATTGATATCTATATATATTTAATTAAAATGGAATCATAATATCATACAATATATACCACTCAGTGGCTTGTATTTTCACAAACACCTTCCATATGACTACATAGAAACCTACTTCATACTCTTATTGGCTACTTTATACTCCATTGCAAAAACTCTATAATAATTAGCTTAATGAAACTCATATTGATGAAGATTTCAGTTATTTTCCATTTTTTCACCTTTTAAACATTTCGATGACCAGTCTTATATATATGTTCAAGCACACTCATCAATTCATTTCTAACCTTAGGACAGTCTAAGGAGTTTCTTTTACCTTTCTCCATCCCAGCATTTCTGCCACACAGGCTGCTTCCATTGGGTGACTCTACTCCCAGGGTCAATTAAGCATGAGCTCCAAGTTCAAAACTCAGCTCTGCCACAAACTGTTATGAGCAAGTTACATAACCTCTCTGCACTCAAGTGTTTTCATCTTACAAAATAGGGGACAATATTATCTTCTAGTTCCTAGATTTGGAGGGGTGATTAAATGTGGTGATCCGTGTATAAAGCCCGGCACTTTGTAAGTGCTCAATAGATGCTAACTATTATGACTGGTATTGCTTGTATCTCTGCAGAGAAAAATCACTCTCTATCCTCTTTAGGACCCAGGTTGAATATGTCCTCAGTCATCAATTTTGCAGTTAATTTCCACTTGCTAATTTCTCTCTTTTCTCTACCTCCAATTTGATTCCTCTCATCTTCTGGTGACATCTGCCATTGATTTTGCTATTCAAGACAACTAACGATGTTTCTAGAGACGGAATCAAAGAAACCTACCCTTAATCTTTAGAATTACAGTTATATTTTTTCTTGTAAAACTTACTATTACAGCGACCAGTGTTAACCCTTGGTCTATGATTTTCAGTTATTTGTTGGTTGGGTTGTTTTTTTCATTAATTCTGCAAATATTTATTGAGCATTTGCCAAGTGAAGATACTGGACTGGGCCTTCCAAATATAGGACAAATAAAATATGAAACAGCTTACAATCCAGTAGGATAGAAAGAATCTGACAGCAGATAGGAGAAATTAGGTGTTCCAGGCCCAATGACCTGCCTCTGGACTCTGCAAAGTTAGGTCACTTGCTGTGGGATAATCTGAGAGAAGGTCTCTCTTGAGTTGAGCCTTGAAAGATAATTAGTTGTTCAAAAGCTAACACAGGTGAGCAAAGATGTTTCCAAGCAGTGGGAGTGTTTTATAAAACTTGGAGGCCATAGAGGAACTGTAAGGAGTTTAGGATGGTGGGAACAATGTATGCTGAAGTGATGATGGAAGATAAAGAGAAAAGACTGCAACACATGAAAATGGACTCAAAACAAAATGAGGTCGTCAGTGTCCTTGATGGGGTTACTATGGAAACACTAAGGCATGCCTGGTTCCCTGGCAGCTTCAAAGGCAGCACGCACCTGGTTCAGTTCAATGAGACATGGTGGATACCACCCTGAGCTCTCTACCTCTACTATGAAAATAGGTGATCAACCAAGTACCGTCAGCTTTTCTACTATATTATCTTTGGTTTTGCTTCACATGTCATCTATAGCTTCATTCTAAAATACATTTCAAAGTAAGACATGGGCCTTGATTTAATATACATTTAGTCTAACATTTGTGAAACAATATTGTGGCAAAGAAGAGGTTCAAATATGAAAACATTCTTTAATTATTATTAACTGAGAGAAAATAAAGAGTTCCATAATTGCACTGAATGAGTTTTACCATTTTCAAAAGCCTTCCACCCCAGGAAAAGGTATAAAGAAATGCAGTTTTAAAAATTTGCATGTTTTCTTTGTAATTACATTCAGCCTACTTTTCAAAAATTAAATAGGTTTTAAAATGTAGTCCAGGTGTGGTACACTGCTAAAGAAAGGGACCATCACATCATACACATAAATATATCATGTTCTAGGACTTTAGATCTCACCTGAGAAAACAAACATTCTCTGCCAGCACTTCCACGCCTGCTTTAAAAGGCAGTGAAGCATCAGCAGCTGACTCTGGGCTCTGTTACCCTTCAGTGAAAATGTTTTTGTACAGAGGCACAATGGAGAGCCATCACTGTGGTGGACGTTCGGCCAAGGAACCAAGCTGGAAATCAAACGTGAGTAAAATCCAAACTTTCCTTCTTCAGTTGTCTGTGTCTGATGGTCCCTATTTCTATGAAGCTGGCTCTTTGAAACTGGACTGTAGCATCCTCCAGAGCAAAGATAAAGTCTGTAAACAAACTTGAGGGCTGATTGCACATTTTCTATGAAGAACAAGATAGGTGCGAATAATTTGTTTAAGTGATAGTTTCAGAAACTTACTGGGAAGAAAATTGTATGTTCTGAGCAGAGCTTTGCCTAATTGTCAGGAAGGGAAACTCAGTTTTTGTATAGGAGGGAGGTTAAGAGGAAACAGTGTGTGTACACTTTCGGCCAGGGGACCAAGCTGGAAATCAAACGTAAGTATTTTTTTCAACTGATTTTTCTGTTTCTAGTTAACTTACTTTTTGTTCCTTTTTGTGTGTTTTCATTAGATAGATAGATGTCAAGGATAAAACACATTTCATTCCCAGATTAGGTACAGAGGAAGGAAAATTGTTCCAGGGGAGGCTAGCTGATGACTAATTTTCAAGATTTCCAAATTAAAATGATTTAATTAGGGAAAGGGGGTTGCTACCCTTTTAGGGCAGGTTTTTGTAGAGGTGGAAGTTAAGAGGTATCACTGTGGATAACTTTCGGCCAAGGGACCAAACTGGAGATAAAACGTAAGTACATTTTTGCTTAACTATTTGCGAGGTTTTTGTCCCATTGTATTGTTTATGCAAGTTTGTGACATTTTTGTTAAACGAGCCATTCCTGGTAAACCAAAAGTAAAATAGCAGAAAATAGCTGTCTTTTAAGCTGAGCAAACGTATTGTTCAGTTTGTGAGGAGAGTAGAGTAGGATTTGTGAGGAGAATGTCAAAGAAATAGCTGGACATTTCTCTGAATTAGCCTTTCTCATATGACTAGACTTCAGAAAGAGGTTTTGTTGAGGGGGGATGTTGGAGCCCTCACTGTGGCTTACTTTCAGCCAAGGGACCATGCTAGAGGCCAAACATAAGTGCATTTTTCTAATCCTTTTTCTTATAGTCATGAAATTTGGGGATTTTCATGTTTGGGATGTGAGTTGAGGTCAGTTCTGAAAGAATGGGATTCTTTCAAAAATCAGATGAATAAGGGACTGAAAATTGGTTCATCTCAAAGAGCAAAGAGCTAGTTAGTTGATGTGGCATCCAAATTGCCAGATTTCCTCTGAATCTGTCAATCTAGCTAATGAGGTTAGCATCAAAAGGAGGTTTCTGTTGAGAGCAAAGTAATTGAGCTAAATCTGTGAACCACCTTTAGCCAACGGACACATCTAAAGATGAAATGTAAGTAATTTTTCATTATCTTCAGAAATTTGGGTCTAAATGCCAGTATTGACTTTTAGAGGCTTAAGTATGAGTTTTGTGGAGATGAGTAAATGAGAGCATTTCAGATCTATCATCAGTTTCAAGAGTTAAACCCAGCTTCAAAAATAGATTTGTAGACAGAAAAGATTAATCTAAATCAAATGACTCAAAGGGGAAAAAATTCATGTAAATGAAAAAGAAATCCTTGAAGCCCTAAAGAGCAAAAGTGAGTTAATTTCCATTGACTTTTGCCAAATACTGTATCAATTTCTGCTCATTATGTCTGATACAGAAAAATAGAGAAATGTATTTCTTTGTCTCTTTTCTCTCTTCTGTCTGATAAATTATTTTATAACAATAAAAATCAATAGGGCACACTAACAATCAGTAAAAAGTTAGAAAAGTATGTTTGCCATGTAAAAGACGCAGCTTAATTGAGAATCAGCAGCTGTGTCATTTTTACAGTCTAAAATGAGTGATGACCTGTCAGTATTCAGAAATTCTACAGAGATTCCATATCTTGACAGATAACTTTTTTTAAAAAAATCTAAATTCTATATTGAACTAACCTTGAAATAATCGCTTAGCATAATGGTGGCAAGATGATTGTCCCCAAACCCTCAGATTTTAACAATTTTTTTAGTAAAGAAAAATAAAATAATTGCATGTTTAAATGCCCCTGGACTTGTAGACAAATAGTAAATATTTTACTGAGTATGTTATTTTATTTACTTCAGTTATTCCTTAGCCATGTTTTAATATCACGAACGAGACGTGGCACATCCAGCGTGGTCTGTAGACATGGCGATCTTTTTTCGTGATCACATGACTTGCGCGGCCAGGCCTCCATGCTCTTGTTGCACTGAGCCTGGGTGCTAAAGGCCAGGCCAGTACCGCAATCGCCCGTTTAACTGCATGGTCTGCTTTCCTAACACAGTGATACGAATAATGCCACTAACGAAAGAGAATAGAAATGTGGCCGTTGCTGAGCTAACAAAGGAAAAATGGAGGTGCCTGATTTATTAGAGATTTTTAGAAATAAAATTCACATTCATTATTATATCCTTAATGAAAATTTACATTAGCGGACTATAAAGAATTTAAAGCTATTTTTTTCAGTGATATGAAATTATTTCAATATCTATTCATCAAATGTATTTAAATAATACATTTGATGTATCATTTGGAGTCAGAAATTTCAATCCAAAGGAAAGAAATATTTAAAACTTACAGGGCAAAATTTCCACCAGCAAAAATTAAAGGCCACCTGGCCTCTCAGGTTTTGATTGATTAACTTTTACTGAATTCACATTAAATAACATTAAGGTATATTAACTGACTAAAAGTAAGATACATTTTTGACATGTTTTTAATTTTCAAAAATTTAATAGCTTGGGTAGGATTATATTTCAGTGGTATAGAATATTTAATCATATATAAATGCCACTAATAAAAATGTAATATAAACATATTTTCCAATACCTTTATACTGTGATAGAAAATTTTTAATCTGGGTGTTTCAATTCCATACCCTCTAAAATAGTTCAGTAATTTGTGTTGTCACCGTTGTTGTTTACTTAAGCTGACTTCAATAGTGATGTTTAAGAAAAGTTATTTTTGGTGTATAGCAATTTCACAGGACTATTTTAGGGCTGTTTTAAAACTTTTAAAATTCAAAATTGTTTAAAACTATTTAAACTAAGTATTTAAAACTACTTAAAAACTATTTTATGCCCTTTGACAAACTCTTTTAGAGAATTTTAAATATCTTTAAAAGCTAATAATATGGCTTACAAAAATTTCCATATCAAAGATGTTAATTACTTAATATTTTAATGCAGGATGGAAAATTTAAAGCTATCAAGAATTCACCTAGATAAGAATATCTTCATAGAATATTTCCCCTCCTTTCTTTCTAGAATTCACATCATTTTTCTGCCAAGACTATTTCATAAAATTCTCTGGAAAAAAAAAATTAGTAGGAAAGTTAAAAGAGAAGAAAACATCAAAACATAAAAAGTTCATTTTCTTATGTCTAACTGCTTGGCTAATATGGAAGTTAGCTTTATAAAAACCTGTTCACTTATCTGTTGAGTTCTCCCAGAAAAGGATTCTTTTTTTTTTTTAATTAAATTTGTTGGGTTGACAATGGTTAGTAAAATTCTATAGGTTTCAAGTGTATAATTATAAAATACATCATTTATATATCACGTTGTGTGCTCACCACCCAGAGTCAGTTCTCCTTCTTGATTTGTTATTTTAACTCTTGTTCTCCTACCTGAGGGCTTGAATGCCCACAGAGGGGGATTTCCAGGAGGCCATCTGGCAGATGCTTGCAGTCAGAAGTGAAGCTAACCAGTTCCTCCTAAGCAGGTGGCCGAAATTACAGTTGATCCCTCCTAGACTGGCTCAACTTTGCCCCATATGGTGACAGCCATCAGAACAGGGCCTGGGTCCCCCTTTGAGGCTCTTGTGAGGGGTGGGAGAGTTGCTGGCCTGAATACGGACAGCGAAGGGGCTGACCCCCCACCCAGGCACAGACACAGACCTGGGACCCACTCTGCAGGGTGGGTCTGGCCCCAACACACCCAAAGGAAGCCCAGGAACGGAAAGGCAGCCTGATATTATTGCACAGTACTAGGAGAGGCACAGAGGAAATGATCTTCTGGGTACAGGGGCCAAGACCTATTCTTATTTCTAAATTCTGAGAGTGGTCAGATGAAGTGGCCTTTGTGTCTTAACCTCAAGCACTGAGTTACTGCAGGAAGCTGGGAACATAGTTGAAGGAAAGATAGATGAGATCCAAAAAACATACATAAAGTGTTTAAGAATGGCTGCAAAGACTTCAAAGAAAAAAATTTTAAGGGGTAGGGAGCAGCTAGGGAGAAACTCAGAATCATGGAGATTATAGATATGCTTCCTGGCCTCCCTAATTGCTACAGTTACATAAAATAAGCATGTTACTCTCTGTATGTTTGTCTCTCATGGACTCTGTGATTGCCTACAAACAATACACCCAAGTGGAGAACTTCCTTGTTATTTAAACACCCTTCTCTGTGCTTCCTTCCTTAGGGGCTGTGGCTAAACCATCCGTCTCCATCTTCCAACCATCTTCAGAGCAGTTACAAACTGGAAGTGCCTCTGTTGTGTGCTTCCTGAATGACTTCTACCCCAGGGAAGTCAATGTTAAGTGGAAAGTAGATGGCGTTGTCCAAAACAGTGACAACATCCAGAACAGTGCTACGGAGCAGGACAGCAAAGACAGCACCTATAGTCTCAGCAGTACCCTGACACTGCCCAGTTCAGAGTACGAAAGGCATAGTGTCTATACGTGTGAAGTCACCCACGCAGGCCTAACTTCTGCCCTTGCCAAGAGCTTCAATAGGGAAACCTGTTAGAGAGAGAAGCCTACCAGGCGCCATCATCTGTGTGTTAGTCCTAGCCTGCCCTCTTCCCCTCCTCAGGCCTCAGGCCCTTTTCCCAAGAGACCTACCCTTACTTCAGTACCCCAAACCCTCTTCTCACCACATTCCCCCTCCCTCTTTGGCATTAATCATGCTAATATTTGGGGGGGAAATGAATAAATAAAGTGAATCTTTGCACCTGTGATTTCTCCTTCCTGATTTAATGGTTGTTATACATCATTTTTTCCAATTACCCAGTTTGTCTTCTAAGGAACTAAATACCGAGTTGCTATAAAATACATCATCATTTATAAAAATCATCATCCTCTCTGTGTGGCTTCAGAGTAAGGGCTAGAAGATAGTCACCATTTTCCCTCTGTGGGGTCCTTCTCCCATGCAGCTGGCAGGTGGGCACCATCTTTCCTGTGCTGAACCCTCCCCCATGCCCAAATCTGAATCTGAATTGCTCTGGTGAGCTCAGCTTGCTTTACCCTGATGACTAACTGGAACCCACCCCCTCCCCCCCAACACACACACACACACACACACACACACACACACACACACACACACACACTTTACCAGCAGCTGAACCTTACTGGAGCTAGCANCCATCTTTCCTGTGCTGAACCCTCCCCCATGCCCAAATCTGAATCTGAATTGCTCTGGTGAGCTCAGCTTGCTTTACCCTGATGACTAACTGGAAACACACACACACACCCACACACACACACACACACACACACACACACACAACTCTATATTGCATAAGGCTTTACCAGCAGCTGAACCTTACTGGAGCTAGCAACTGGCAGCAGGCCTCAGTGTGTCCTGGCTTTTTGTGGGGCTACCCCATACCCAGTACTGGTGGCAGCCATCCTTGGTTCATAACATGGCCTCTCCCACGCACCTCCAGGTCCAGCACAGGCAGAGACCAACTGTGGATAGTTTCATAGAACCTACCAGGTAGTCCCCAACTGTCACAGGCAGTGATTGACCTGGGCCTGCACTAGAGCCCTTCCCAAGAGACTCCAAAACGAACATATTTGGAGGTTGGTTTAAGATCACAGCAGAGCACCACCCAATTAGCTCCACAAGTGGCACACAGAGAGGGTGGTCTCAACAGGCACCAGAACCTGTGGTGTGTAATCCTGCTCCATGTGGTAAGCCCCACACACAGCAGCCCATAAACTGTGGATGTAGACAAACTCCACAGCCAGTCAGCCTGAGAGTCAATCCCACCCATTTATGTGGCAACAACAATCAAGGCTCAAATATAACAGGAGAACACACACAACCCACACAAGGGATACTCCTGGAGCGCCCAGCCCAGTTAACCAGGGAGACTGTGCCACACTGGGCCTCACAGGGCACCTACTATATAAGGCTACCTGGCAAAACTGGGTTATGTAGCAGATCTACCCAATACATCAAAACTTAACACATAGAGGCAGCCAAAATAAGGAAACAAAGAAATACATTTCAAATGAAAGAATAGTAGAAAACTCCAGAAAAAGAAATAAAATGGAGGCAAGCACCTACCAGAGACAGAGTTCAAAACATTGGTTGTAAGGATATTCAAGGAATTTAGTGAGAACTTCAACAAAGAGATAGCATGCATTAAAAAAAAAGCAATGAAAACAATAAAAAAGAACCAGTCAGAAGTGAAGAGTACAATAATTGAAATGAAGAATTCACTAGAAGGAATCACCAGCAGACTAGAGAAAGCAGAGGACTGAATCAGCGATTTGGAATACAAGGTAGCAGAAAACACCCAATTGGAAGAGCAAAAAGAAAAAAGGTTTTTAAAAAAATGAGGATAGTTTAAGAGACCTCTGGGACAACATCAAGTGTAAGAACATTCACATCATAGGGATACCAGAGGGAGAAGGGAGAAAGCAAGGGATTAAGAATCTATTTGAAGAAATAATGACTGAAAACTTTCCTAACTTGGTGAAGAAAATAGACATACAAGCTCAAGAAATGCAGAGTCCCGAACAAGATGAACCCAAACAGGCTCACACCAAGACACATTATAATTAAAATGGCAAAGGTTAAAGACAAAGAAAGAATCCTAAAAGTAGCAAGAGAAAGGCAATTAGTAACTTATAAGGGAGCTCCCATAAGATTGTTATCTGAGACGCAGTAGTTTGCAGTAGTTTCCAGCAGACTCTGCCCAGCTGACCCTCCTCTTACTTTAATAAATCTTCTATATTTCTAAAAAAAAAAAAAAAAGATTGTTAGCTGATTTCTCTACAGAAACTTTGCAGGCCAGAAGGGGTTGGCAGGAAATATTCAAAATGATGAAAAGTAAGGTCCTACAGCCAAGATTATTCTACCCAGCAAAACTATCATTTAGAATCAAAGGACAGATAAAGAGCTTCCCAGACAAGACAAAGCTAAAGGAGTTCATTACCATTTAGCCAGTATTGCAAGAAATTTTAGAGGGATTTCCTTAAGATGGGGAAAAAAAAGAAGATAAAAAATATGAATAATAAAATGGTAATCACTACATATCTATCAATGATTACTTTCAATGTAAGTGGATTAAATGCTCCAATCAAAAACATAGCATGGCTGAATGGATAAGAATATAAAACCTCTTACATATGCTGCCTATAAGAGACTCACTTCAGGTTGAACGGCACACACAAGTGGAAAGTAAAAGGATAGAAAAACCTATTTCATGAAAATGGAAACAAAAAAGAAAAGAAAAGAAAAAACAAAAAAAGCTGGGGTAGAAATGCTTATACCAGACAAAATAGACTTTAAAACAAAGGCTATAACAAGTGACAAAGAAGGACCCAGCAATCCCACTACTGGGTATTTATCTGAAGGAACCCAAAACAGCACTTGAAGGGGATGTGTGCATCCATATGTTCATTGCAGCGTTATTTACAATAGCTAGAATGTGGAGGCAGCCTGGGTGTCCATCGATGGATGAATGTATAAAGAGGAAGTGGTATATACAGACAACGGAATATTGCTTGGCCATGGAAAGGAATGGGTTCTTGCCATCTGCAGCAGAATGGATGGACTTAGAAGGTATTGTGCTGAGTGGAGTATGTCAGACAGAGAAAGAGAGATGCACTGTGATTTCAATTATTTGTGGAATCTAAAGAATAAAATAAACAAACAAAATAGAAATAGACTCATAGACACAGAGAACATTTTGATGGTTGCCAGATTGGAGGGGGATTTTGGGATGTGGGTGAAAAAATGGGGAAGGGATTAAGAAATAGAAATTGGTTGTTACAAAATAGTTTTGTGGCTGTAGGGTATAGCACAAGGAATAGTCAATAATATTGTAATAACTACATATGGTGTCAGACAGGTACTAGGTTTATTGGAGTGATAGTTGGGATGGAAGAGGGTTGGGGACAAGGTGAAAAAGGTGAAGGGATTAAGAAGTACAAATTGGCAGTTACAAATCAGTCATGGGGCTGTAAAGTACAGCATAGGGAATACAGTCAATAATATGGTAATAACTATATACAGTGCCAGGTGGGTGCTAGACTAGTTAGGTGGATCACTTCTTAAATTACAAATGTCTAACCACTATGCTTGACAACTGAAATTAATATGAAATAATATTGAATGCTAACTGTAATTGAAAAATTAAAAAGTGGGGGAAAGTGAAGGGGAATAAGAGGTTCAAATTTCCAGATATAAAGCAAATAACTCATGGGGATGTCATGGACAGCATGGGGAATATAGTCAATAATATTGTGATAGCGTGGTACAGTGTCAGGTGGTTGCTGGACTTATCATGGTGATCACTTGTTTAGGTATATAAATGTTGAACAACTATGGTGTATACCTAAAACCTATATAATGTATGTTAGCTATATTTTCTAATAAAAATATTTTTAAAATTATCATCCTCTGTTCTACCCTTACACTCTGTCATCTACAAGATGCTCCTCCATGAAACCCATAAGCCACCTGTGTTCACACCGCATTTCCTTGGACCATGGTATAAGAGGCTTGCTTCCTTGTTGCCCCTCCTTAGTAGGCCTAAAAGTCCTTTTAAGGTGACAGTTGTACAGCCACATGTCCTGTGATGCTGTTGAGCCTACTTACCCTGAGAATTTACCAAGTGCAAATTTTTCAAAAAAAA